TTATGTTATTGAGCATTAAAAAAATAAAAAATAAATAAAATGACTAAACACGTGACTAGACCATTCCTCACGTTTTGATTCTTCACTCTAAAACACGCTGGGTTGGGTCAAATATGTTCCCAAAGTTGGGTTGAAACAACCCCCAGCATGTTTTAGAGTGTTCCCATGCAGCTAACAGCTAGAGAATGTTCTCAGAATGTTCTGGCAAAGGTTTGAAGCAAAAAAAAAAAAGTTATTTCAGTAACACATTAAAACCATGTTTGTTCAAACTGTTATAGTCTTTAACAATGCTCTCAAAAAGTTAGTACAAAAATTTTATTTATACATAGTTTATGGAACTTTTTTCCTAAAACGCTTTAAATGTTTTTTTTTAATGTTAATAATAATTAATAATATTACTTATTTAAAAAACGCTTTAAATGTTAATAATAATTAATAATATTATTTATTTAAAAAACGATTTAAATGTTGTTTTAAATGTTAATAATAATTAATAATATGATTTATAAAAAATACGCTTTAAATGTTGTTTTAAATGTTAATAATAATTAATAATAAGCGAGATGTTTTGAATATAAAATGTTTTTTATACATTGTTTATGGAACTTTTTTCCTAAATCGCTTTAAATGTTTTTTTTTTAAATGTTAATAATAATTAATAATATTATTTATAAAAAAACGCTTTAAATTTTTTATTTTTTTTTAAATGTTAATAATAATTAATAATATTATTTATTAAAAAAACGCTTTAAATGTTGTTTTAAATGTTAATAATAATTAATAATAAGCGAGATGTTTTGAATATAAAATGTTTTTTATACATTGTTTATGGAACTTTTTTCCTAAATCGCTTTAAATGTTTTTTTTTTAAATGTTAATAATAATTAATAATATTATTTATAAAAAAACGCTTTAAATTTTTTATTTTTTTTTAAATGTTAATAATAATTAATAATATTATTTATTTAAAAAACGCTTTAACTGTTTTTTAAAATGTTAATAATAATTAATAACAAGCGAGACGTTTTGAATATAAAATGTTATTTATATATTTTTTATGGAACTTTTTTCCTAAATCGCTTTAAATGTTTTTTTTTTTTTTAAATGTTAATAAAAATTAATAATATTATTTATTAAAAAAACGCTTTAAATGTTGTTGTAAATGTTAATTATAATTAATAATAAGCGAGACGTTTTGAATATTCAGCAATAGCGTTTTCAAACCTAATGGGAATGTTATTAGAACATATTTTGGTTAGGGGCTGAGCTGTTTGTGAGTGATAAACAGAACGGTTCTAATGGGTTTGGAAAGTTGTGTTAAATGCACATAAAATAACAAGACTAGCCTGCAGATAATCATGTAATAAGTTCATGTGCACAAGAGAGAAAAAACTTAATATTCATGAGTCAAGTCCTCATCATAAAACCAGCTTTTATCTTTCATCCAATCAAAAAGGACTCGTGGCCATTAATATTCAATTTCGCCACAGCCTCATTCGATTATATATTTGCCTCTGATCTGTTGGGATTTTGTGGCTCTAGTTAACCCTAAACCACTGTTTGTGCAGCTAAATTAAGACTGACGTTTAATCAATGTTGTTTTCTGTGATTTATTGGCGATTCGGAGAAAGAAGAAACTGTGAGGCTGTTCGGTTGACTGCGTTTTGACATCCCAGATAATGAAACGTAAAGAATATCAGTTTTTAGAAGCAAAAACAGAAAGTCATATAGAAAGAAACTGGATTAAACCATTTAAGAATATAAGTTACCTCACATATTTTAACGGTTTAATGACTAGCGTTTATTAAGCTATTATCTTGATGTGCCTCTCTATACCTAAAGTTTCACATAATATTACAATCTGCCAAAAACATCATGGTATCCTAACAAAAATTACCATGCTGTGATCTGACACCACCATTGTACAATTTACAGTAACTTACTAGATTTTAAGCAATAATAGCTGGAACAGAATTCATACACTCTCAGAAAAAAAGGTACAAAACTGGGGCGGTACCTTTTCAAAAGGTACACTTTTGTACCTTTTAGATACTATTATGTACCTTTAAGGTACCAATATGGACTCTTTAGGTACAAAGGGGTGCCTTTTGAAAAGGTACCGCCCCAGTGACAACTATTGTACCTTTTTTTCTTCCAAAAAAACTGTGATTTTATGTTTTTCAAAATTGAAGTCATCAAATGTCACAATTAATGCATTGTGGCAATGCAACAGCTGGCCCAGAATTCACACTGGACCCCAATCATCCCTCAGCATTGATCATTTTCAAAGATATTTTAATTAGTTTGGTTTACCTTCTGTCAAGTTTGCTTCGTCGGCTATAGCTCTGAAAATGGCAGCACAGCTGATTGCTCCTATCAAATCTGTTCGCATTAGTTTCTTGCATACAATTTAGTTCTACTCTCTTATAGACCGTTCACAAGTCTAAACAAGTGCCAAAACAGTTCCCCACAGCTGCTGATTCGTTCTTAACCTGAGACTAACCAGGACTCCAGACCGTACGTCATACGCCAATACGACACACATTTGAATCATAAGTTCATGTAAAGGTTTGACCTGTACTTACCCGAGTCTCTCTAATGCTCCAAGATCCAGATGCATGAGAAATAATCTGGGAAATGAAGGTGGTAAGTAGCAGCCAGTCGTGGGATTTTTATTCACTGTTCATTTAATCTCAGGCAGTCCAATGCAGTGTGCAGTGTAACAATAAAGCTCTGTTGTATTCTCATCCTCACAATTAATATTAATAATAATGATAACATAGAACATGTGGGAATGTACACGACACTTGGCCTGTTCCCTGTGAATTTGCATTGGATAACATTTGATTGGCACAAAAATGGCTAATTAGGGCTTCACCAAACATATGAGCATTATGTTCTTTTGGTGCAGATGCATGTGCCAAGGGCATAAATGTAAATATAAATTTGAATCAAGATGAAGATTCAAGCCACTTTTTCTTGTTTTATACTGTATCTTACACAGGTATACATATATTTTTCCTCACAAACCACTCAAATGTTCTAGCACATGTGTTGGGGAAAGTTACTTTTAAAAGTAATGCGTTACAATATTGCGTTACTCCATAAAAAAGTAACTAATTACGTTACTTAGTTACTTTTTATGGAAAGTAATGCGTTACGATACTTTTACGTAACTTTTTAAGTCTGGACAGGGCTTGCTTGTTTGCTTTTAAAATAAAAAAGTTCTATTTTTTCACACCAAAAGTGAAATGAATGCGCCTCAGGCTGAAGGGAAAGTACAGTAGAATGCAGAAGAAGACATTTCAACACACTTCAGCAATAAACAAAGACACACAAATGTTTGTCTAGAGTAATTTGTGCTTATTAGTACGCTTGAACTGGATCATCGAAGGTCAGAAGCTAATAGAATGGGATTAAATACATAAAGCATATTTGTGTTGTTTAACATTTAATTATTGCAGGTTTGCGTCATATTCTGAGTTGCTTTATTTTTATTCATTTTGAGCTATACTGAATCTGTGTTGTTGTTTTTCGTGAGTGAGATGAATGAATGCATATTCATATTTATTTTAGAACTATAGTAACATCGGATTTCTCTCAACATGGGGACAGGAGAGCTGCCAATCAATAAATTGAAAAAATAAGTAACTTGCGTTACTTATTTGAAAAAGTAACTCAGATATTCTCTTGTAAATTAAAAAGTAATGCGTTACTTTATTCGTTACTTGAAAAATGTAATCTGATTACGTAACTCGCGTTACTTGTAATGCGTTACCCCCAACACTGCATCTTACTACAAAACAGGATTCGAGAAGGTACAGGTGCCACGGGATTCGCTATGTTTTCGTTATGGGACGACTCACATGCACAAAAGGTGCTGGAGGACATACAGCTGAAAGAAGCCTACAATGTAAAGCAGGGCGATCTAGGATAGAGCAATTAAACATGCTTTAGTGGGAATCGCCGGTCTAATAGGTTGCTCTTCTCTGACTGTGTTTGACAGTATTGGGATTCAGTATAAGTTCAGCTCTATCACAGTTTGCCCTGTAGTGTAACACAGAAAATAACTTTGACTCATCATTACAGTAAAGCACTTACAACAGCAGCTCACAGGCCAGACATTAAATATTAAAATACAAACTGTTAAAAATACCCACAAAACAAGACTAGCACAAAGCACATCCTGATCTCCAAACGGAGAATTGAATCAACATTGAGCGGGTTAATGACACTATTGTCTTCTGTAGAGCTGCTTTACAGCTAAATCCAATTTGTTCTGTAACTGATGGACTTTGCAACATCGACACTGTCATTAAGCTGAGCTGAATAGTGACACTGTTGTCTTCTGCAGAGCTGCTTATAGCTGAAATTGAAGTCATTTCATAATTGATGAATTTTGCAGAAGTTATTTTCTTGTTTATTACTGTGAAGCTGCTTTGATTAAAAAAACCTGTATTGTATAAATGCTACATAAATTCATGATACATGTTCACGTGAGCCAAATTTGACGTTTATTACTTAAAGCATGAACATTGTCAGTGTGATATTATAGTGTCATGGCCACAACATCGATAAAGAGACTTTAAATGAAGAAAAATCTACTCACTTGAAGTAATTTGGTGATGCATGACAAGAAAAAAAAAGGAGAGCTCAAATAATAATTAGAGTTTTTAGTAAATTATTCAACGTTTGAACAAAAATGAGATTTCTGCTTTTAAATTCGACAGGTTTACTTGCATTGCAATAACCGCAATTTCTTCTGTCACAAATTTTGAATCTTTTCTACAGTAATCGACAGTCAAAAATGAGTCAGTACACTCTCAGAAAAAAAAGGTACAAAAGCTGTCACTGGGGCGGTACCTTTCCAAAAGGTAGACTTTTGTACCTTTTAGGTACTGATATGAACACTTTATGTACTTATATGTACCTTTAAGGTACCAATATGGACTGTTTAGGTACAAAGGTGTGCCTTTTGAAAAGGTACCGCCCCAGTGACAACTTTTGTACCTTTTTTTCTGAGAGTGAGCTCAGCTCGTATTGAACCTGGAACATTCCTTTAGTGAAATGAATTAAGAATGTTTTTAGTCTCATTATGACGCATGTTATGCATATTCGTAAGAACACTCTTCAATAAAGGGCAATATATCACATCATAATGTGCACAGTGGTTGTGTCTCTTTCAGCTACTTCTACAGTACACACTGTGGCTGAAGTGTGAAGTTGAAGCATATTTGAAGGGTGTAAGCATAACATCATAACAAGTTCTTCCTATTGGTTGTTAGCAGCAACGTAATGCGGTCCGATTGCTTTGTCAACTAAACTTGCTGATGTGAAAACTCTCAGCGGAAGACTGTGGTTCTCAAGCATCTTCAGTGAAACACAAATGTCAAAGAAGTGGATCTCTGGGTCTCCGGTTCAGTCTCAGGAGAGGAGTTTCTCCACAGACTCCAGAAGCTCACTGGAGCAGTTCAGGCTCTTGAGGTCAAGTATTAATTTGTCTTCTCTGGTCTGCTCGGATGTGGGACGACTAATGATTTGTGGCTCCTCTGCGTCTTCGTAAAAAGCCAGACCGTTGCTCAGAGAATTGCTGTCTTCTTGTTCCTCCTTGCACTCCTCCTTCTCCTCTTGTTCCTCCCCTGGAGTGTTTTTGGCCATGAGAAGAGGAACGGTGGCCATGCTGATGGACTCGGACACCAGGTCAAGGCCACAATCGTTCAAAGAGCCGCTTTCTGTGACTGCAGGCTGTGATGGATAAAACATTTACAATTATGCTTTTGACAGATGCTTTTATCCAGCATCCAGCATAAGGTTTTAACAGTGATGCCATAGAAGAACCATTTTTGGGTTCCTCAAAGAACATTTCTGCAAAGAATCATTCTTACAGAACCTTTTTTTGCAATGAAAAAAGTTAAGGTTCTTTATGGAACCATTGATGCCAATAAAGAGCCTTTGTTTTTAAAGGGGACATAACACAGTTTCTGCCAATCTCATGTTGATCTTGAGTACTTATAGAGTAGTACTGCATCCTTCATATCTCTGAAGATTCTTTAGTTTTATCAGCTTTATAAAAGACAGATACAGCTTTACACTCGAGCTCTGGAGGCGTGCCGTGGGCGGAGCTAAAGAGTCACTTTGCGTTTAATCAGTTTCCTGGGAATCCATTACTAATAATGATCTACAGTAAATAATGACTGTTTACTGTATTTGCTCGTGAAGCACATACCTTACCTTCTCTTCACTGAGGCTTTCCTCCGGTCGCCTCTTGTTCTTTGTCTTGCCTTGTTTAGTTTGCATCTTCCCTCCTTCATCTTTCAGCAGATTGGCTGAATGTGAGTTTCTGAGAGTCTTTCGGTCCACGGGATCTAATTCTACATCACTCCAGACCTAGAGTACATACAATACAGTATATATATATTGACACGTTTGGCATTAAACTCCTGCGATTTTTATTACTTTACTATATAGTAATAGCTAGTCTCACTACAACTTAACAGAGTGTTGTGAGTGGTTGATATGGTGTTGCTATGCGGTTGCTAAGATGTTCTGAGTGGTTTTAAGTGTGTTGTTTTGTGGTTGGCAAGTCTCTATAATATTCTGCTTTTTAGATAAGGCTGCACGATAAAGATAGTTTCGTGCATTTATTAATACAGTACTTTGGATTAGGGGACTCTTCAAATCCAGTGATGCAACTGCACAACCTTTAACATCTATACAGGTACAGTACGCTAGGCATACTGGCTATTGTACACTAAACGACTGCGGATCGCACACTACCAGACTTTCAAGTCATTCCAAACACGACAAACTCATGCAGAAACATGTGGGTTGTTGCTAGGAGACGTGTGATGAATTTAAAAAAAAAATCTGTGTTCTAGAATCGGTTTAAAATATCAGACATGTTTGATTTCCTCCAAATGGATGGAATTAAAATCTGAAGCTAAAAAAAACTAAAAGAGTGTGTGTCCATCATTGACTACACAATTTTGTGTGAACGCCAAATGGCCAAAATCTGCAGTTATGATCAATAAGTCAAGTCAACGTGTTTTTCTATCACTTTAACTTATCAAATTAAATCAATTTCAGCTGATTTAAAAAAAAAAAGTAAGTTTAATATAATTTGTTGAAATGACTTGTATAGAAAATGTGATTATACTTAAATATTTAAGGCAGCAACTGAACTTAAGTTTTAACTTAAATAGGTTAAATATTTTTTTACAGTGTGGCAACGACTTTCAGCAAATCGGGGCAGAAATCTGTGCAAAAGTCATTTAGCAAACACAGAGCTGGCATGCAATTAAAATGATAAAATGCAAGTATTTGCACCTTCATATGACCAGATTTTGCAGCTTTTTAAATATTTTTTTTAAAGATTATTTAATATACAGCGACTTCAGTGGCCACATACACTATATGTCTACACTGACACTATATGCAAAGATTCAGATAAGGAGTGAATTTCTGCACAATGCATTATCAATAATCGTTCTCAAAGCGTCTTGTCACCCAAAAAATATTTACAGAGGTAAAACTGGATGGCATTTTAAACAATCTTTGTTTATTATACACTATGCAATTTTCTGTGAAATCTGCTCAGAATCTGCCTCTGACTTTCAGAAACAAATATCCAGAATAAAAATCAGTGCAAAAGTCATATAATATATTCCAGCCTTTAGCAAACAACAAGTAACAGCTGGCATGATTACAAATGAATCACTTAGCAGAAAAGGTGTCAGTTAAGACCCTACATATACAGTATATATAGGCTGCAATTTACAGGCCTAATAATCCCAGAACATGTAGTGTATATCAACACAGACACATCTTGCCTGTATAAGAAGAATAGGTAGACAGATCAAATACAATATCATTCATAAGAAAGAGCATTCGCTTCCCTTTCAGCCTGTTCTTGAAGTACGCTGGTAAAATCAGAGCTACTTTATAGATTATATTATAAAATGCACAGTCAATATTAACATTTCTGCTGATGCACAAATAGCATATAAGCAGATTTTAGCATTAGAAGTGTATTTATTTATGATTTATTTATGATTTAACTCCATATCCGCAGCAATGGCTATATTCCTGCAACATCAGCAGTATTATGGTTACCATATATTTTCAATACATTGCTTACAATAATTCTATCTTAAAAACAAACAACATACAAAATTTCTATTAAAATACGTTTTGCACTAAAGAAATTCTTACATGAATCACAAACCGGTTTCTCCTCCCATTTCAATAAATATGAAAGAGTGAGTTTTGAGTGACATCTCATATATACGACCTGGTCATATCTGTTTTCAAAATAATAACAATAAATAACTCCTTGATTTAGTACTGGGTTCGCATTATAAATACAAAGGGTCACATTCATAATATCGTGCAATCGGCAATCTGAATAATGTGGTCATGCAAGACATTTCCATTATTCAGTCTCCTTTGAGTAAAATACTAACCGTGTCTGTGGTGGACACAGAGGAGACTCGCTGGAACTTGACCTTTGACCCTGATGAGCGTCGGCTGAGCATGGGCTCCTTGAAGGAAGATTCGCTGTTGGACACCGAGATGCAGTCTTTACGGGACGACTGCGAAAGAAAATGCAGACACGGCACCTTCTCAGCCAGCGTGTCTCTGTGAATCAGTCAGAAATACACACTGCGTCATATATTGTCTCAGTATTGTGTGGTTGCTAAGGCATTTGCACTCGAACGGACCTGTATTTGGAGCGTATGATGGCGTAGATGAAGGGATTGTAGATGGCTGATGCTTTGGCAATCACTGCAGGAACTGCCTTGGAGTACGGCGTGAGAACGTGGCTGTACCTGGAACATTAAAACAATAGCCAAAGCACATCTTACAGCGTACAAACTCATGCCGGTCTTTTCTTCAAGCATTATTTGCAAGGAAATGTTGCCTGAACGTCTGCAGTCCTTGTGAGCATTACTGACGTCTGAATTTGTAATGTTTTTTCAGTCCAAATATCTCAATATTCTTAAATCAAGATGCATTTACCTGAGAAGCCAAATAACTTGAAATATAAAGTCTTGCTTTCTGAGAAATTGTATCAAAATGAAGCGAGTTTATGCTTAAAACAAGAAAAAATTGCTTTCAGAAAAAAGAAAAATAATCTTACTTTCCCTTTGAATTAGGATTATTTTTCTGACCCCAGTGACAGATTTGTTTCTTGTTTTAAGCATACACTTTTTTTTATTATCAGAAAACAGTCTTGGTTTTTGCATGTTTAAATACACTGTAAAATGATTGTCTTGTTTAGTATTTTTGTCTTGTTTTCCAGTACAAATATCTCAAGAAAATTAAGCTACATTTACTTGAGAAGCAAAATGACTTAAGATAGAACATCTTTTAAATAAATAAATAAATGAATGAAAATTAAGTGAGTTTATGCTTAAAACAAGAAAAAAATATTTGTCAAAAAGCATGTACTTTTATTTCAGAAAACACTTAATATCTTGAGAAAGTTTGCTTTAATGTATGCTTTAATGTAATTGATTTTAGAATGTGTAGATACAGTGCAAAAAATATTTTCATAATTAGTATTTTTGTCTTTTTCCATTGCAAATATATATATATATATAAAAAAATCAAGATGCATTTACTTGAAAAGCAAAATGACATAAATATAAAAAAAAACTATCTAAATGAAGTGATCTTAAAGCAAGAAAATATCTGTCAATAGGGTAAAACAAACAGACTTAATTCAAAGAAAAAAGTTATTTTTTTCTTGTTTAAAGCATGAATTCACTTAGATTTTGATACAGTTTCTCAGAAAATGACTTAGTATCTCAAGTCATTTTGCTTCTCAAGTACATCTGATTTAAGAATATTTAGATATTTGTACTGGAAAACCAGACAAAAACACTAAATAAGAAAATCCTTTTTCTTGTAGTGTATTTGTACTAAGACAATGTTTTTGTAGTGTAGACTGAGTAAAGCTGAGGAGTGTTTGTGAGCGGTCAGGAGAAGCCGGTGACCCCTGCAGTGGCTGTTTACATGACATGGAAGTGACCTAGAGGTGTTGTCAGCTGAGCGGAAAGAATCGCATGTCTGATTATAACTATCCTCCAGCAGACTGAACTCTAACGCAGAGGTGTTCGCATCAAGCCGTCCGCATCGCCTCAGTGAACCCAGCAGCCTTTTGCTGTGGACAGTTCTTCTATAAAAGGACGTCTCTTTACCCTGGAATTCTGGGAAAGCTTCAGATCTTCTGCATGGTTTGACACCCTTTGATAGATTAAATTAATCTGAACATTTCTTTGAGAGATCAGATGATATACGTGAAACCGGCCATCACAGTTTAGGACCAAGCTGCTAAATACAAATGTTTGTCTGTGTGTTTAAATGTGGGACTGCAATAGAGTCCGGTAGAGGAGTGATGTATTTTTGTAGAGCATTTTAGCACTTACATCAGTAACTCCCCCTTGTGACTTTTTGTAAAGCTTTTACTTGTCTTGAAAAAGGCGGTTGCTAACAAGTGGCTACTACAGAGGTAAACATGGGAACAGATTTGGAGAAATGTAGCACTGCATCAGTGTCTCAACAACGGATGCTCTGCAGTGAATGGGTGCCGTCAGAATGAGAGCTGATAAAAACATCACAATATTCCACAGCACTCCAGTCCATCAGTTAACATCTGGAGAAGACAAAAGCTGAGACACATCCAGCATTAAGACGCTTTTAACTAAAATGCGAGTCCGTAATCCATAATAACGCTTCCTCCAGTGAAAAAGTGCATCTGCTGTTGTCTCTCACATCAAAATCCAGCCACATATGTGTTTAGAGCCGTTTAAACGCTGCTTGATCTGTGCAGATTTCTCTCCTGATTCACACCAGAACACATTTTCACTGGAGGAAGCCTTATTATGGATTATATACTCGCATTTTAGTTAAAATCGTCTTAATGCTGGATTTGTCTCAGCTTTTGTCTTCTCCAGATGTTAACTGATGGACTGGAGTGCTGTGGAATATTGTGATGTTTTTATCAGCTCTCATTCTGACGGCACCCATTCACTGCAGAGCATCCATTGCTGAGACACTGATGCAATGCTACATTTCTCCAAATCTGTCAAAATAATAACTATAGATCTGCCTTTAGTTCTATGTACTATGCACTGGAAAACAACTAACCAACAGTCAAACCAATGACACAAAAATCATTTCCAGCAGATGATGCTGATAGTTACCCTGCCCAGGCGATGAGAGTGACGCAGGCGTACGGAGACCAGGACAGCACGAACACAATGATGACCACAAATGCGATCTTCGCCAGCTTCCACTCGGTCTTTATGGACTGCTGCTGGATGAGCGTCGTCTTCCTCACATGACTGCCCAGCTTCTCCAGATCTCTGAACACACGGGAAGATGGATGATGGGACTTTTTTCCATCCTGCCATGACCTGTCCTGATTGTTTATCGTGGTGATCCCAATAGGCAAGCGTATGTGAGTGTGTGCATTAAAGAAAACAGAGTACGGACAAATATTTGCGTCTCCAGACTTGTCTCTATTCTGTTTTCTAAAACGATCATTTAGGTCAGACTGAATATTTACAAGAGATATTTTATAACACATCAATACTTTACTATATACTGAATATAATGCTGAAAATAATACCAAATAATGTTATATGGATCAATATATTTATGATAAAAAGAAAACAAGTTGAAAGAATAGAAAAAGAGAACACTAGTACATCATAAAATAATTATGACTTGAAATAAAATTAACATTAACTAATAAAATAAAGCTCATTTGATTTCAGCTAGTTGCTGAAGCAAAATTTCTAATTTTCATTGACGTTAAAGACCTAAAATAATTAAACTAAATAAACTGAACCTAAAACTTACTAAAAATAAAAACTATACAGACATATTAAAAAATAAATACATAAAATGACAAAAACACACAGCAAGTTTACTAAAACTTTAACTAAATTTAAAATGAAAACAGAAAATATCAAAATAAAATCTAATTCAAAATATTAACAAAAACTAAAATAGTATATTAATGATATACAGTAGCTACAATTACTGCCGTAGCTGCAATTTTCCAACAATTATATGGCAACAAAAACTAGTCAGAATGTAACATGCATGTAAAAAAGTGTAATATTTTAAGCCATTTATCAAATGTTAAATATGGCCTGAAAAATCTATAAATAAGTCTAGAAAAGTTTCTAATATTTTGAAATGGAAAGCATGTAGAAACCTGGTTCATACTGTACCTGCTTGCGTTCCGAATGGCGAGGAACATGAAGAAGTAGCAGTAAGAGATGATTCCAAGAGGGATGAAGAACACAAAGCAGCAGAGCATCAAGGTGTAGCTCTTGTTCGCCGGCGTGGACGTCACATAGTCCCACGTGCAGGACGTCATGAGGCCTTCTGGGATGTAGGAACCTGTCCAAGAAAAACAGAGTCAAGAAACTCAAAACAAAACTGTTGTCTCATCCAAAGGCAAAAAAAGTCATTACACTCACTCCATCCCATAAGAGGCGCCAGACTCCAGCACAGAGAGTAGATCCAGACCAGGAGGATGATAATGAGCGTGCGCCGTCCGGACGTCCAGCGGATGGCCTGCAGGGGCTTGGTGATCACGATGTAGCGGTCGATGGAAATGGCCAGAAGGTTGATCATGGATGTGATTCCGAACAGTGCACCACAGAAGGCGTACATCTTACAACCTGCGCGGAGAAGCAGATGTGTGACGTGGAAACAGATCGCAGCTGAGTAAGCGTCTGGATGGGGAGAATGGGAAATTAGCTACCCATTTCACCGAAAACCCATTCCTTGTACATGCAGTTGACGAAGAAGATGGGCGACTGAGTGATGGCCATGAGGAAGTCACTCACTGCCAGATTCATGATGAAGTAGTTTGGAGGCGTCTGTAGCTTCTTATTACTGAAACACAAAATACCTTTTTACAATCAGCTTCAGTCTCAGTTTCAAAATGTCACAGTAAAAGTAAAGTACTGCCGTTTCCTCAATACATTAGCTAAACTGATCGACTTTGACTAACTAATCACACTGAGAAAAAAAAATGGTGTTGAAACCATTTTCACTCAGAAATTGCTGGTAAATTTCACAAATACTTATAAAGAATCTGCAAGTTACACATTGAATTGAAGTAGAAAAACTGAAATGTACTCCAACAATCTTTGTTTTATTTGCAAATTTGAAAAAAGTTTTTTATAGTGCATGCTTTTTATAGTGCATGCTTTTAATGCACACATTTTTGCCCAGATATGAAATACTGTACAATGATTTGCACTTTTATATCACCACACTGTGCAGTTCTTCAGCCGTTTGAAAGATTATTTAATATACAGCAACTTTAGTGATCAGTGGAAGCATATCTCTATATAAATGCAATAATATGTAAAGATTCATAAGAGGAGTGCATTTCTGCATGATGCATTATCAAAATTGAAATGGAAGAGTTTATTGAATCCTTAGACAAAATATTTTAAAATATATATTTTATTCAGAGGCCCAAACTGAGCAAAAGCATGCAATTTTTGCAATATGCAATTTATTTTGCAATTTGGTGCAGATGCTGATATTTCTATGATGAAATTCTGATGCTTGTAATGCAAATCAGTGAGATTTTTATAACAGTGCAGCAGATACTTACATAAAATGCTCTAAATATCAGTCATCACTCTATATCTCCAGTAATCTGTCTCAGTGAGATGAGAGTGAAATGCTCCAAACATATAATGCAGTGATTGAGAGCTGAAGAAATAAAGGCTCCTCCTCAGATGTGAGATGTTCTGGAGGCTTGTGAAGATCATTCCTCCGCTGAGGAACAGTGAAAGTAAAGCTTCTGGAAACAAACGCTCCTCAAAAGATCCTGAGGATCAGATTTCAGACTCTAAAACATGATTGATGGAGAATCAAGTAAAGCTGAGCTGCTTCAGTGCAGTAAGTGTTCATCTGGAGATATGACTGCAGTTATTCTGACCTTTACTTGATTAAAATCAGTCAAGATTTGACACGTGAAGCTCCAGCTGAAGCTGAACGTTTGTACAACTAAAAGAGCTTTTACTTGATAAAGTAGGGTGCTAGAAACTTCTACACACTTTGATGGTGTTAAATAGGTTTATTGCGTCTGAGGTGATTCATCACACAACAATCATTGTGATTGCACATCATCTCATTAATCCTACATTCACAGTTTACACAATTTCCTCTGATTGAAAGTCGCCCGGCGTCACCTGCTAAAACCCTCATCCCCGTGCATTAAGCATTAGAGCCTGCAGGAGACATCAGCTCTTCACTGGAACAACACAGGCTTTCCTAGAAAGCTCTCAGCTGACAGACGACCTCCAGCGAGAGGCTGCAGCTCGCTTCACGAGGACGAGTTTGAGTGATTCTCAGTCAGGGAGAAAATCCACACGTACAGTATGATGACAGTCTGTTAATGCTGCTGTTGACGTCTGAATAACAGCAGTCATGTTTAGTTATTAGGTAACACTGGACATAATCTAAAACAGAGATGGACTGTGCCTTTGTGTTGCATATATAGGACGGTGTTAAAGGAATAGTTCAGACAAAAATGAAAATTTGATGAGTTTGTTTCTTCGTCAGATTTGGAGAAATGTAGCATTGCATCAGTGTCTCAGCAGTGGATGCTCTGCAGTGAATGGGTGCCGTCAGAATGAGAGCTGATAAAAACATCACAGTAATCCACAAGTAATCCACAGCACTCCAGTCCATCAGTTAACATCTGAAGAAGACAAAAGCTGAAACTAATCCAGCATTAAGCCGCTTTTAACTAAAATGCGAGTCTATAATCCATAATAACGCTTCCTCCAGTGAAAAAGTGTTCTGGTGTGAATCAGGAGAGAAATCTGCACAGATCAAGCAGCGTTTAAACAGCTCTAAACACATATGTGGCTGAATTTTGATGTGAGACAATAGGAGATGCACTTTTTCACCGGAGGAAGAGTTATTATAGATTATAGACTCAATGTATTTTAGTTAAAAACATCTTAATGTTGGATTAGTTTCAGCTTTGGTCTTCTCCAGATGTTCACTGATGGACTGGAGTGCTGTGGATTACTTGTGGATTATTGTGATGTTTTTAATCAGCTCTCATTTTGATGGCACCCATTCACTGCAGAGCATCCATTGCTGAGACACTGATGCAATGCTACATTTCTCCAAATCTGACGAAGAAACAAACTCACCCTAATCTTGGTCGGCCTGAGGGTGAGCACATTTTCAGCAAATGTTCATTTCTAGGTGAACTATTGCTTTAACATGAACATGCATGAAGTGAGATACACTGAACATAAAAAAATACATTATCCTTAATAAACGTCTTAAGACAAAACTCCATCCGGACGACCATAACCCTCACAATCTTCAAGAAACAATTGAAAACTCATCTCTTCCTCATCTAACTGCATCCTCCAAAAAAAAAATCTATGCCTTCACTTTTTCTTTTCTATTATTATCCTTTATCCCCTAGCTTTTATTATTTTGAACGAAGACTGAAACCTTGTATGACGGGCACTTCTCCTGTTTATTGCCATCTTATGATGTTTGTGTGCATTTGTGAATAGAAAGCCTTCACAACAGTTAGCAGTAGATTGAAGCGCTCGTCTGAGCACTCAGCATGATTTTAAAAGCAACACATTTCAGCGCCAGATCGCCTCTTATTTAACACAAACGAAAGAAATGAATACTCTGCTAGTCAACTAAGATGTTTCATTTGTAATAGATATATCTATACTGCGAGATGTTTCAAAAACATTTGAGATCCAGCTCGCATTAACAGGGGAATATCTGATCTGTCTGCTTACACAGCGGGCGCAAATGCACATATTAGATTTATTTCCACATATGAGGCCTGAAACCGATCTGAGAATATCGGAATCCATCTGCTTTTTTCCTGCTTACACGTTCATGGGCCATATCAGATCTGTGCCACATGGGAGGAAAAAAATCGGAATTGGGTCACTTGAACCATAATGCGTCCTAAATGTAAACGTTGAAAACTGTCTCTATTGCTTTCTTAACACATATTCCTGGTTTTATTATGAAGCGTTCATCCGTGCATTTGTTACTCTAAAGAAACAAAGTTGTCTTCTGATGGAATAAAAGAGGTTGCACATGCTGAATTTGACAGAAAATGCATGTATAGCATAAGCATAAACTTTACGAGAGCTTGTTGAGCTGGTCTTGTAAATGCATGTCTAAGCACATTTAGTAAATTCTGTCCACCACACAGCAAAGTTAATGGAGATGAGCGCTAGAATAAATGAGAAAGCGTTTTAAAGAGGTCGGACATTGATTCGTGTGGTGTACAGGGGGTCTGCTGAATTAAACAGGTCATCAGTGGCTTTGTTTCCGTCTCCTGTCAATAACCCCATTGAGAAACTGATGGTTTGTTTTCCACTTCCACATGATCACCCTTCACCCCAAACTCCCAAACCCTACAGGCCTGCATGTGCATCTAATCTAACAGGTTTAGTTCAACTGTGAGGCATCAATTAAGCATTTCTCTAAAATGACCAAATTCATTATATACTCCTGGAGAATATATTATTAACTTGCTAATATGACTGATTTTAAGGTTTGAACGTGCAATACAGACACAGATTTAATCTTTTTTTTTAACGAATATTGAAATATGATTTTTAATTTTTTTTACTCTAAATATGTAACTAAACTGCCAGTAGGTGGCAGCAGGTGACTGTCTTAATGGGTGAGTCATTGAATAATTCACTCAACCAACAAAGCAAGTCTTTATGATGAGTCACTGAATCATTGACTCATGATTCATTCAAACAGCTGATTCAATCAGAATCAAAACCAATCTTTATTAATGAGTCACTGAATCATTGACTCATAATTTATTCAAATCGCTGATTCATTCAGAAACAAAGCAAGTCTTTATGATGAGTCACTGAATCATTGACTCATGATTCATTCAAACAGCTGATTCATTCAGAATCAAAGCAAGTCTTTATGAATGAGCCACTGAATCATTGACTCATGATTCATTCAAACAGCTGATTCATTCAGAATCAAAGCAAGTCTTTATGAAAGATTTAATCTTTTTTTTAACGAATATGACGAAATATGATTTTTATTTTTTTTTACTCTAAATATGTAACTAAACTGCCAGTAGGTGGCAGCAGGTGACTGTCTTAATGGGTGAGTCATTGAATAATTCACTCAACCACTTCGTTCAAAGAGCTGATTCATTCAGAAACAAAGCAAGTCTTTATGATGAGTCACTGAATCATTGACTCATGATTCATTCAAACAGCTGATTCATTCAGAAACAAAGCAAGTCTTTATGATGAGTCACTGAATCATTGACTCATGATTCATTCAAACAGCTGATTCAATCAGAATCAAAACCAATCTTTATTAATGAGTCACTGAATCATTGACTCATAATTTATTCAAATCGCTGATTCATTCAGAAACAAAGCAAGTCTTTATGAATGAGTCACTGAATCATTGACTCATGATTCATTCAAACAGCTGATTCATTCAGAAACAAAGCAAGTCTTTATGAATGAGTCACTGAATCATTGACTCATGATTCTTGCAAACAGCTGATTCATTTAGAATCAAAGCAAGTCTTTATGAATGAGTCACTGAATCGTTGACTCATGATTAATTCAAACAGCTGATTAATTCAGAAACAAAGCAAGTCTTTATAATGAGTCACTGAATCATTGACTCATGATTCATTCAAAAAGCTGATTAATTCAGAAACAAAGCAGCTCTTTATGAATGAGTCACTGAATCATTGACTCATGATTCATTCAAACAGCTGATTCAATCAGAATCAAAGCAAGTCTTTATGAATGAGCCACTGAATCATTGACTCATGATTCATTCAAACAGTTGATTCATTCAGAAACAAAGCAAGTCTTTATGAATAAGCCACTGAATCATTGACTCATGATTCATTCAAACAGCTGATAAACACATTAACACTATTTCACAGTTGTAAAAAAAAAATATATTGACAATATCAACAGCCCTAGTTTTTTAGTTATTGTTGTTTTTGTCAGTGAAAAAAATGTAGTTGATAAAAACTATGACGACAATTAATAATCAATTAAATTAACACTGATTCACACTTATGTGAGTTAAATACAGTGCCACTCCTGCTTAACCTTGATTAATCCCATACCGTTATTTACAGGAATGACATTTCTACAACTGTATTTACATTAAATCTTGGTAAAGAATCCAAACCAAACCGTAACTTTATCATATGTTCACGTCCGTATTTAAATATGGTGAAGCCGCAGTGTGTCTGCTATATCTGCTAGTCATCATCTATTACTGACAGCAAACTGTTCCTCCCAGCAAAGACTAAAATAAACCCGTCAGTATAAAACCATGTCAAGACTGCTAGACTTCAAGCATACAGCAGTACGAGTAATTTAAATAAATGACAAAATCAGCAGTGAGTCAGTCACATGAGCGATGCAGCATGTAAGAGTTAAGACTAAACAAACACCAGTTGGCTCAAACCTCAGTGATAGTCAGTATACTGGACTAAGTGTGTTGAAATCAGTTTGAGATCAATGAGATCTTGTGAAAAAAGAATCACAAAAGATCTCAAAAGTGGCTCAAACTGTGCTCAGATTTGCTAAGATCAGAGATTTCAATACGAACTCATCAAAGCTGTTATCCACATTATTTGTATACTGGGAAGTTTGTAATAATTAAGATTTTTAAGAAATAAGAAATATATCAATATTTATAAAAATATAAAAAGTATATATAATGTTATAATGTATAAATGCTGTTATTTTGAACTTTCTATTCATCAAATCCAAAAAAATAAATGTTTCCACAAAAATATTGTGGAGCGCAACATTGATAATAATCAGAAATGTTTCTCGAGCAGCAGATCAGCATATTATACTGATTTCTGAAGATCATGTGACACTGAAGACTGCAGTAATGATGCTGAAAATACAGCTGCACATCACAGAAATACATTACAGTTTAACACACATTCACATAGAAAACTGTTACAATAAATTGTAATAATATTTCACTATTTTAACTGCAATTACTGTTTTTGTAATCAAATAAAAGCAACCTTTGTGAGCAGAAGAAACTGGAATGAAATGAAATATAATCTGAAACTCCATTAAGTTTCAAAACACTCTCCTCCAAAAACTCATCTAAAGATCTAAAACAGCCGCAGCCTCATAAGAATAAATGTTTAAAGTTGAATATTGACACTCTGTGAGAACTTGAGGATGTGATATCCTACCTGAAGAAGGCATACATGACCAGCATGTTTCCGATCACTCCCACTGCCCCGATGACGGCCACGAAAAACGCCACTATGTAGTGTGCATGATCGGGAACGTCCACTTTCCTGAAGAAGCCGCGGTCCATGTCCACCGGCTGCTCCATACCTGCATCGGCCACAGAGAAGACGCTCGTTAAAGCTGCATCTGACCTGACTGACCTCTGAACGCTCTGACACGCTCTCCAGGAGAACCTCCTCACAGTCACCTCTCAACACATTTCCAGCAGCTGGCTTTAGTGTTTGGGGTTTGTTCGAGCTCTTATCTGTGGCAGGGCACATGTGATCCGAGAGACTTAAAGGAAATAAGAACATGCTCTGTTTGAGCTCTCGGTCTTCCTGTACTGAAAACCGCCTCCAGCTCCAGAAATACAGCTCCAGAAAGCAATAACACCTGCTGCAGATAGACTTATTTTTAAAATAACTTCACATGAATATGTTTCATGAGCTTCATACCGTGAATTAGGTCTGTCTGGATGAGCTTCAGCAACACTCTCTTCATTTGATCTGTAGTTTCAGCTCATGTTTAATATTAAATGTTATGAAACAATATTTCGAGTCTCAGGACATTATAATCTTGAAAACATGGGGTCAGTTTCTGGACTCTAAAAATAGCTTGAATGTGAATGCTGTATTCTGTCTCTATCTTTATTTACAATGTATGATCGTAGACACAGATTACATTGATTTATAACCCCATTTTCCGTGACTTATTTATTTTACTATTATAGTAAAATTAATTTAACTTGTTTATGCAAAACTTGTTTCTTATCCTTATTATTATTATTCCAAATGGCAAATAATTAATTCTAGCTAATATATATATATATATACATATATTTTTGAAATTGAAAATATATTTATTTTCAATCTTCATATACAAGAAAATCCATTACAGAAGCCTACATTTAGGCTAAATGTGTTATTAACACGTGTCATAGACAACAAATAAAGCTTGTCTTCAAATGATTTACTTGAAACACACTCAGAAACCGCTAGTAAATTTCACAAATAATTTTAAAGAAATGCAAGTAACACATTGAATTAAACATGAAATTTCAAAGTATAAAGACTGAAATAGTATAAAATGCATAAAACTTGTAAAACGCACTTGAATAATCACATTTTTATAGTGCAGAGGGGAAATACAAACATGTAAACAGCTCAATTGCTATGCATGATAAAAAGAGAATTAAAACAAACAAACAATTAATCAATGTTTGCTTTTGAAATGATTAGGAAATTATGAAAAATATTTGTAATCAATATCTGAATGAGCTGCTAGACTAAAGCAGGGAAGGGCCCTGTTTTGTTTAGTTTCAAAGTATTATTATTATTTTTTCCTACTGCACACTTTTATTAATTCATACATTTTTTGTTATGGTCCAAAAAAACAAAATCAATTTATTCAATATAGAATTTCCCCAGGTTTATTTATAGATATACTGTGCACAAAATGTACTTGCAACCACAAACAAAAACAAAAACATTGAAAATGAAAATAAAAATAAACAAATTAAATTACATAAATATCTGTAAACACCCCCCGGTCTGATTATTGTTTCGTTCCCAGTAACGAACATGTCTTCAAATCTGAGTGACGTTACACTGAAGCGTTTATGAAAACAGTACTGAATATTAAGTTATGAGACACTATTTCACTATCCATAAAATGACATACTTTATGTTGTGCAGGAGAGCTTTATAATTGTAATAATTTAAATTGGATGCAGACAATGAGCCTTATGATTAAAGGAAGTAATTAAACCCGAGAGAGCGTGATTAAATGCTCTGTGTAGGTGCCATAAGAGGATTTATCTCTCTTTATTTATTTATTTATTTATTTAATGTTAATATGATCAAGACCATCAACAGGGTCATGCAAGTTAAAGCTGTTCAATATGAATTTAGAAACAGCTTCTGTCTGCAGATTCACTGAAAGATGACTTTCAGTTGATGGCTAGCAGCCCTTAAAAATCACACGTAAAAATGTCAAAATTACATAATACTCAAAAAAACATGAATATGCATCACCACTGAGCAAAAAGATCCTGCAGCATTTGAGTGCATTATTTTATGCAATGATGTTTTCAAGAGAACAAACACTTGCCAAGTGCATTTTTATTAGTAAAAACAAAGATTTTACAATTAGATGTTAAGAGGCCAACCCTAAAAACTTCAGCATAACCAAAACAACAATATATATATATTTTTTAAATACATTTTATTTAGACAAAAGCTCAAAATTTTAAGCTGTTTCTCTGAATATATCCCAATAACAAAGTTAATTAAAGTTTATAAATCGTTAAAGGCTTCTTTATTCTCCCTGTGACCTCAGACTACATTTAGCTTTCAGGACAGAAACTCTCAAAAAGTAAGCGTCCAAATGGATTGAAGACGCTCAAAAAGGTCTGACGATGTAGAAATGTGGGAAATTAGAATCTATTTTTTTCCCCTATCGCTTGAGTTTTAAAATAGCAAAGCCAAAGGCCTCACGCAGACTGGAACGACAGCAGACAGACGTCACCAAAACCAACACAAACACAACACGCTCACGAGGATGACAGAGCAAATTACAATCATCCCAAATGATGACTGAAATCTCTATATGCTTATTTTTATACTTCATGTCTAGTGTAAAGTGTCATTTTGGGGCAGAAATGAGGTTTAACAAATAAAATCAAAAATATTGTCTTCAGAAATTGTTCATAATTCAACAGAATAAATGTAAAACAACATTTTGTAAATACAAACACAGAGAGAAAATAATCACAACAAGCGCATGGTGGTTTGATTTCTGACAGACTCAATTAAAATTGTTCAAAATTATGGCTAAAATCAATATATGGCTATTTTTTCCTCTAATATAAAGTAGAAAGTTGGGTCCAAAATAATGTTTTAACAAATAAATGTTTTAAAAAAGTTGTCTACATAACTTATTATAGGGCTATTTTTGTACTTAATGTCTAAAATAGTGGCCAAAGTGACCATTTTAAGACCAAAATAATAATTTTAATCCACATTTTTGTTCTTAATTCAACTGAATAAATGTACAGTGTACAAATAGAGGCAGAACATATTCACAATAACTCACAATGATTTATTTCTGACAGATTAAGTTACAAATATCAGAATTTTGGTGCCAAAATAATGTTTTAACAAAAATAAATAAATAAACGTCTCCACAACTTGTTCTTAATTCAACAGATGACTAAAATGTATCCCTTTATCACTAAAATATCACTTTATATGAGATTATCTATATATATAAAGTGATATTTTGAGGCCAAAATAATGTTTTAACAACAACAACAAAAAGGTAAATAAAAAAATATAGTCTACAGAACTTATTCCTAATTCAACAGATGACTAAAATCATTATATGTCTATTTTTATCAATTTATGCCTAATATAAACTGGTATTTTAAGGACACAAAAAATAATATGGTAAATAAAAATAGTCTACAAAACGTATTACTAATTCACCAGATGACTAAAATAATCATTATAATTTCTGTAATTGATATCCAATATAAAGTCGTATTTTAGGGCTAAAATAACGTTTTAACAAATAAACTTATAAATGAAAACTTATTCGTAATTCAACAAGTCATTAAAATTTTTATTTGGCTATTTTTGTTAATTTATATATTTATGACTAAAGTGTAATTTTGGGCTCAAAATAATGTTTTAAATAAATAAATAAATACTATTGATAATAATAATAAACAGATAATGTCCATAAACTGTTGGTAATTGATCAGACGAGAGTGAGTCGTTTACCTGCGGCGTTGTGTGTCTCTGTCTGAGCCTACGGCGTTTGCAGTGAGATCTGTCCACATGCGTGTGAATGCTGTTGAATGTGAGCGGCTCCGGCTGTGTTCTAATCCAGCAGAGAGGTGGAGCTTCACTTTCAGTCATCATGAGCACACTGACTGACTCACGGACCGACCCCACGGCGCTTGGACACTGATGCACATGCTTAATTGATTTTCTATACACTATTGTCACTTTCAATTGCCCACAACTTGTTCATCTGGACTGAAGAGACTGTAATGTCAATGCCATGCATGTTTAATGGAGGAGTGATATGCGGATAAGAAAGAAACGGGCTTTCTTCTCAATGACCCGGTTTCGCCCTTTTTGGTACATCCGTTGAGACGGTGGTCGAAAAGTTCAGGGAGGCGAAGGCGCGCTCAGCGGCCTTCAAAACCTTCATTCCACGAAGGTCCAGGTCTGAGCCCGAACAACCCAGGGGTCCTGGCCCGTCTCGGTTTGAGGATCAGTGACGAGCACAGAAGGCTAGTGTCGCGACTCGCGCTCCTCCTCCGCCTGCGGGTAGGGGTAGGAAGTATCGTGGGTCAAAGGGAGGTAGGCAAGACATGAGGGATGTGATCCAGACAAGGCATCAGTGCTTTCGTCTGGATCAGAGTAATACTTAGGTATCCACTCTTTCCCTCAGGGGGTGTAACATCTACCCTTTTTCTTCCCCTTCCTAATTCCCCTGTAACCACCATCTCTCCACCTGACCGAGGTTAGGTGGAAGCTTCCTGCACAACAGTCTCCTACTGGACCTATGATGTTTTTGGTTGGTTCTATGACTAAATCATAGTAACCACTTTACTGATGGTCCGGTCTAGAGGCTTCTCCGGACAGAGCTCCGATGCGGGAACCATGGTGGGTGAGTACGATCCATGTCTAATATATGTATATATGAATATATATGCGTATCTAATGAGACTGATGGTTGTGTGTTAACCTCTGCTAGTTTCTTTGCAGTGTTTCCCGAGACCTGTGTGTTCTGTCCCTTTTCTAGGATAAGTCCTCGATGAGGCCCCCTCTGAAAGCCGGGTTCGGAACCGGGTGCTTGACTTGCAGTGTTTATTTCACTCGTCGATATATGTCCAGACGGTAAGAAAAGCCGGGTTTCGGCTTCATACTTCCTGGATCATGCGGCCATAACACAGGCTTCTGCGGGAGTTTTCTATCTATGGGCTGCTCTTTCAGGGTGCCACCAGAACCCCTAGAATGGTATTTCAAGTGTGTGCACGTTATGCTTTTCCCACTTTCTAAAATCCCCATAGCTGGTAAGTGTGCATGTTATGCTTTGCCCACTTTCTAAAATCCACATAAGTGGTAAGTGTGCACGTTATGCTTTGCCCACTTTTCTAAAATCCTGTACGGTAAGAGCTACGCGCAACAACTTCGTGCTCTTTCTGAGTGATTTAAAACCCCGGTTACGCCTTGGGCACCACTCCTCCTTTGTATCCTCTGGATACCTACTTTAACAGGGTGTTGCTACTAGGGGTCTGTTGAGACAGTTCCTTCAGCACATACAAAGAGAACGTGCGGTAG